ACATCGGTCCCTTCCAGGGTGGTAATCGACTGGGTTTGTGATTGATGCTGGGTGTAGAGCTTTGGTATTTCATATACCACTGGGGTGGGGGGTGAACCGTGGAAGAGGATCAGAGTGGGGACGGAAGGGAGGGGGGGGATGAAGGGGGGAGGAGAAAGGAGGGGGGGAGAGGGTAGGGCTCTCCTAGGTAGTCGGCTGTGTGTGGACGTTTCTGCAGGACTATCTGTCTTACATGTGTTTTATTCGAGTTGCGGCATTATCGTTGTGTTTGCAGTCTCCAGAATTATTTACATTTTCATTTACAGTTGCATTGACCTTTACATTTACACCCTTTGCTACAGTTTCGTTGTCGAAGGGGCACAGCTGTCGGTGTGTAGAACCCTGCGACCGTCATCTCAATTGGGGGTTGTATTATTAGTACGCTCCATGTACAGTTGCCAGGTTTCCCAGGCTTGTGACCAAACTTTTTTGGAGTGGTTTGAGCGTCTAGCTGCCAGCTCGTAGAGCTTAGTTGTTTCTATTGTTTGTATGCATTCTGATATTTTGGGTGGGATATTAGATTTCCAATGTCTGCTAATGACCGTGAGCGCGGCTATAAGTATGTGATAGATTAAGTATTTTTGCCTGCTCCGCAGCCCCTTTGGAAAGAGGTGGAGGAGGTATATTTCTGGTTTGCGGGGTAGTAGTGTTTTTGTGCTGTCTTGCATAATGGTGGTTATGGTATTCCAGTAGGGTGTTAAGGAGGGGCATTCCCACCAAATGTGGAGCATTGTGCCCTTGTGTTGTTGACATCTCCAACAGATATCGGAGGCCTGTGGATAGGTGGCCTTTAGGCGTGTGGGTACTAGGTACCACCGGTATAAAATTTTCGGGGATAGTTCCATGTGGGAGGCACATTTGGAGAGTGAATTGTGTGCCAGGAGAATCTCATTCCATTGTTTTTCACCAAGAGTGTACGTAAGTTCCCTCTCCCATGCAGCTATGAAGGAGAGGTTTTTGTGGTCTTTTGGGGGATGCATAGTCTGGTATAGTTCCGAGATTAGTTTTTTGGGGGTTGCGAGACGTGAGCATATTTTCTCTACCACCGTCAGCTGTAGCCCCTGTACATTGTCAGGTCTTGTTATAGTTTGCTTGCGGAGCCATGATTGCAACTGCATGTAGGGGAAAGCTGCCCTTGGAGTCAAATTATAACATGCTGTTAGGTCTGCGAGATTTCTGAGCTTGTTTTCCTGGAGCAGCTGGTGTAAGTGTGTTACTCCGTGCTGATGCCATACGGTATAGTTAAAATTAGGTATTATATAGTGTAGTGTTTGTATGGGCATGGCAGGCGATATTTTGCCCAGCCAGCCCAATGTGCGGCAGTACTTGTCCCATATGGTCAGGGTGAGGGCTGTGGTTGGGAGCAATTTTGCCTTAGTAGGCCTGCTGTGCTGGGGAAGCCATGCCAGTACATTGATGGGAATGTTATTAGCATGCTGCGCCTCCAGTTCCATCCATTGGGTTGGGTGGTCTCGATGGCAAGCCGCTAGTAGGGGGCCCAGAATGGCTGCTCTGTAGTAACTGTCTAGGTTGGGCACTCCCATTCCCCCATTTTTGCGTGGCATGTATAGCGTGCTTTTCGCTACCCGTGCTTTTTGTCTGTCCCATATAAAGGTTAGTAGTGTTTGTTGAGCATCTCGTATGAATGTGGGGGGTATCTTTATGGGTAACGTTCTAAACAAGTATTGCAATTTAGGTACAATGATCATTTTAATTGCAGCAATTCTCCCTGACCAAGATACGAATTTACTCTTCCATCCTAGTAGTAGGTTTTTTATTTTAGTCAGTGTTTTTTGATAGTTTATTTTAAAAAGGTTTGCTAGATTTGGGGTGAGATTGATTCCTAGGAATTTTAGATGGTCGTTTCGCCAGTCGTATTTAAAAGAGATACGCAACCTATCCAAGACCTCCATCGGGATATTTATGCCCATTGCTTGAGTTTTATTTATATTAAGTTTATAATAGGAGCACTTGCTGTATTGGGTGAGCGTATCGTGGAAGTTAGGTAGGGATTTGTGTGGTTGCTCGAGTGTTAAGAGGATGTCGTCTGCGAAAAGTGTGAGTTTGTGTTCTTTGCCTTGTCTCGTAATGCCGTGTATGTTTGGGTTGTCCCTAATGAGTTGCGTGAGAGGTTCTAGCGAGAGAATATAAAGGAGAGGCGATAGTGGGCAGCCCTGTCTTGACCCGTTGGTTATGTGGAATTGTTTAGAGCTAAAGCCCCCATTGGTGACTTTCGCTGTCGGTTTAGAGTATAATGCCTTTACTAACCGTAAAAAAGTGTCTGGGAAGCCATATTTGATCAGAACAGCTTGGAGGAAGGGCCAATGCAATCTGTCGAAGGCTTTTTCAGCGTCAAGTGACAGCATAACGCACTGGGCCCCCCCTCCGCTTCCTCCCTGTAGTAGGTCCAAGATCTTTCGGGTTCCGTCCGCTCCTTGCCTACCACTAACAAATCCCACCTGGTCCTCGTGTACCAGGGTCGGGATAGTGTTCTTTAATCTGTTAGAGAAAATTTTTGCCAGTAATTTGATGTCCGTGTTAAGGAGGGAGATTGGTCTTAGATTTTGGCATTTGTTAGGTGGTTTGCCTGGTTTTGGCAATGTAGCCACATGTGCCATGAGCATGTCTTGGGGCACTTGGCCCGTCGTGAGGATATGGTTAAAGGTTTTGTCCAGATATGGGGTTAGGATTGTGGTCATTGTCTTGTAGTGAGTCCGTCGGGTCCCGGTGATTTGCCATGGGGGAGTGAGTGTATAGCTTGTTGTATTTCTTCTTGTGTGACTGGGTGTTGTAGGATAGTTTTCTGGTGTTCCGTCAGTGTTGGCAGCGAGAACTGTCCAAGTAGATTTTGAATGTCTTGGGATGTGGGTTGATGTAGTGTGGGGTCTTCTTTGAGGTTGTATAATGAGTGGTAATAGTCTGCCATAGTATCATTAATATCTTCTGGGTTGTGGATTTTAGAGCCTTGGGAGGTGAGCAGATAGGGGATTTTTGCATTGGATTGTTTTTGGCGTAGTAAAGTCGCTAGATTCCTGCCTGCTTTGTTTCCTTGTGAGTAGGTTTTTTGTTTCAGCTTATGTAAAATGTGTGCTGTTTTAGAGATTGCCATGTTGTTGATACTCGTCGTAGTATCATGGATCGTGTGTGCTAGTTGTGGTGATGGGTCTACTATGTTTGCCGCTGTTGCGTCTCTTAAAGTGCGCAGCAGGTGTAGGTGTTCTTGTTGTGCTTTCTTTTTTAAAAAGGAGGCTCTGCTGATGAGGAGTCCTCTGATGACCGCTTTATGGGCTTGCCACACAGTGGTCGGATGGACATCCGGCGTATCATTAGTTTGGAAATATGATGTCAGGGCTTCTGTTAATGTTGTAGTGAATGTCTGGTCACCTAGAAGGGAATCATTGAGCCGCCACGGTGGCCGTCCCCTATGTTGGTATTCCTCAGTCAGCTCTATTGTGGTCGGGGCATGGTCTGACCATGTTATGTCCCCGATTTCGCTATTTGTTACTCTGGTAAGCAATGTACCTGTTATGAAAATGAAGTCTATCCGTGAATATGATTTATGCACTGCTGAATAGAACGTGAACGTTTTCTCATTAGGATGGAAGGCTCTCCAAGGGTCGTATAGGCCATATTCCCCTAGCAGTATATTGATTGCTTTACTTTGTGCTTTGAGTGCTTTGTGCCTCGGTGTCGTGGTGTTTAGTGTGGTGTCCATGTGTGGGTCAAGAGGGTGGTTAAGATCTCCACATAATATAAGTGGGGCAGTCTGGTTAGGTGGGAGTGCAGAGAGCACCTTACGTAGGAAGGCGCGTTGGTGTACATTGGGAGCATAGAAGCTGACTATAATATATGGCAGGTTATTTAGGAGGCAATGTAGCATTACAAATCTTCCTTGTTTGTCTTTGATTAGGTTTAGGGCTTCAACTGTTAAGGAGGAATGGAGAAGGATTGAGGCCCCTCTCGATTTGGAGGAGTGAGTTGCGTGATATTGGTGAGGGTAATGTTGTGCTCCAAAGTTAGGCACCCTAGATGTAACAAAATGGGTCTCTTGTAAACAGATAATGTCCGCCTGAGTCTGTTTGGCTTCCTCCAGCATCATGCGCCTTTTATGTGGGGTGTTTAGTCCCCTGCAATTGTGTGAATATATTTTCATGTGATGGGTGGGTGATAAAGGGTGCTCGTTTGCAGTTCTGCTGTGCCTATATGGATTTGCAGATGTTGCAGGGTTCGTATGGTGCACCGCTTAGACGGCGCCTGTGCGACTACGTTGTTGCGCCCGGGGGTGGGAGGTTCGGGAATGACAGAGGAAAGGGGTAAAAGAAACCAAAGTATATACAGTATGACCCAAACGTGGGTCTTGGCACAGTGGCATCGTGCCATGGGGGAGGAGCGCTGAAACAGCGTCTCTGGTATTGTGGCCGTTGGGCTCCCTTGTGTACATAGTTGCTGTCTCTCCTCAGAGCTATAAGTCAATAGCGACCTAGGTATTGTGCATGGCATTCTCAGTGCTGGCCTGTGGGCATGGGTGGGAGAATCAAATCGGACCCAAGGGAAGGTTTTGTGGGGCGGTGTGCAGGTCACCGCTTGGTGCCTATCGTGGTTTTCCCACTTGTTGTGTCGTTCTTTATGATGGGGTGTGGTTCTCCCATCGTAACTTTTGGATGTGATGAGCCAGGCTACGTAGTTGGGCGGGGCGGTGCGGTTGTAGTGGGTTTGACCTACTCGTAAAACAATAGTGGTTTATATGGTGTCATGTACAATTTTCTCTCTATGGACAATGTCCCGGTAAATTACATAATCGTTGTGCACCTTTGTACATTCTTGGAGTACCTGTCTTATGTATGCATAACCTCAACCTTGT